CTCATTTTCTAGCAACCATCACACTAACAAACCATTTTTCGTAATCGTCTATTTGCTCGAGTGTAAAATCCAATCTAGCATAATATGCTAAGGTTAAGCACTTTAACTAAACCTCAATAACACGCAAGATTTGAGTTTTCACTTAAACAAGAAAATGATACAAGTGCTTCATAATATCCATCACTACCTGCAAACTTGAGGCAGTTCTTGAGGTTGAGGAGGGTCAGGAGCCAAGATGAGATAAAGGGTGTCCCTCCAATTAGCGCTCGAAACTAGGTGCAAATCGAAGTTACTGTTATAAAACACCTTCTTTGTGTGATCGCGCGAGTAATAAAGTCCCTTAACCTCGTTATCCAGCTCGTGAAAACTTCGAACGTCATCAGAAACTCTGCTCATGAGACTCGTGGAAATCCCATGATTTACAAGCTGGAAAAAGCCCCATTCGCGACAAGCTTCTCTGACTTTGTCGATGATTTCATCCTTGTTCGAGCATTCTAAGTCTATGACAGGAACACTTAAACTTGTTCTGTTAGAACTAACCGAGCTTTTCGTCTCGAGCATGTATTGCTCGTTTACGAATATATGCGGAATCTTTTCCAGCCCGGACTCCATGAGCCCCTTCACCCCTGCTTTTGTATCATCAAAAGCTTTTTTTTCGCTCTTTGTGTCACATTGGGAAATATTTGATGATTCTGTTTCTCCATTTTGTACCAAAAATTCCATTATCATTATTTTTTTATTTTTTTTTGTGTTTCAGTAAAGCAACCAAGCCATAATGAAGAAATGGGGGAATTGATCTGCAGTGATAAGTGATGAGTGATAACATACACAGCATACATCTTATGTGAAATGTGAGCCATACAATTTTGTACCGACATACATCTAAGATCATTGAAACATCTCCAACCAAAAAGTCCAAAACCCCAAACGAAAAATATTGTGACTTCAAACAACAAATTTTCTCCTATCACTATACTCATTCTTCAACTAAAACAATATTAACTGTAAGAATATTGGTTTGGCATCGTTCCACAAACCTAAGTGTTTTTTAGAAGATTTTCTTGTTAGGCAAGCAAAATAAATTGAAAGGAAGTTTTTCTATTTATTTACTTGTGAATTAATTAAGTTCCTAATATTTATTATTAATAATACATAGTATATATTTATTATAATGTATATTATGGAGTCCTAAACCTTTAGGAGAAGGATTACATAATATATATCTTATATATTTACTTACCATATATGCCACATGTATTAATGAGTTTAATTCTACTTACCATATATGCCATATGCATTAATCAGCTTGATTCTATGCCATAATTAGTTTTTTATCTCTTGTAGGACAAGGAATAGGTGGTAAGGACTATGAAAGGATGAACTATTCACAAAAGAAGAATTATGGACGTTCATGAGAAGATCTAAGGAGAATTTGAAAAGATTCACCACAAAATATTTGAATATTTGGAAGATCGGCTATTTTAGAATAGTCGTGTTCTTACATCAGTCTAGGAACAGAAGATTTTCATTGGAAACTCAATTCTGAAAATCTCCAAATCAATACACGAATTCCACATCAAGGAAACTTACTATAAATGAAGGATTTCGTCCAAAGCTGAAAGGAATCAATTGAAAAGAAATTGACTCCTAAAAGGAAAAGGAGAACCTTGTGAAAACTCCTTATCTTAAGGAAATTGTATATAAGCCTACTCAAACCATCAATTGAAGAGAGCTGTTGCAATAATCGGGTTCATCATTCATCAAATTCAATTGAGTGTTTGAGAGATTTTTATTCTTTTTATTTTGTTCGTCACAGCACCTCAGCGTTCTTACATTGCTGACGAACTGAGTTTGTTTAATTTCTTTTTCTTTTACAAACACTTTTTAGTGCTTAGGGATTAAGTACTTTTGTAGCTAGAAGGGATTCTTAGCTATAGTAAAGTCCACGGGACGTGGCCAGGGAAGTAGTTGATAGGATCGAGTATAGTGTTGGCTAAACTAGGAAGGAGTCTGAGTCGAGTAAGTCCAAGCTGTATTTTTTGCGATGCAAACTAATTTATCAATAAAAGAGCTCAAAGGGGTAGTGGGACTTTCCCCGAAGACATATAATTTTTTATATCGCTTTCGCTTTTAAATTTGTTTTTATGTGGAAAAATGCTACATGTATATAATAAATGTACATAGAGATGTACATAACACTCACATGGAGTGGGTCCACCTGATTTTTTATTTTTAGTAGGATTCACTTAATGTGAGTGTTACGTACACCTCTATGTACACTATTATGTACTTATAGCATTACCCTTTTGTGTTGCAACACAATTTCGTAATACAGAATTTATGTGTTCTAACACAATCTGCATACTCTATACTACCCCACCCTCGTTTCATTAACATTATTAGACATTAACTTTCATGTCCTTCCTGTTTTATCTTCATTAATTAAACCCAATTTAAGTATTGTAAATAACATTTTTAGTTGAGATTAGTCTAAGGAAGAATTCTAGGGTCAAGACCTTCACTTTTTCCTTTTCATTTTCTAGTAACCTTTTGCTCTCTCTCCCAAACTTTCAGCCCACAAGCTCCCCATGTACAGATTTTTTTTTTTTTATGTAATGAAATCTTTGTTCATTTTAGTTTTAATATGGTATCAGTTACCAGATTCTCTCGATATGTTCGATTTTCTAGTCCATAATTGTTGTATTGTTCGATTTTCTCGAATCCTAATTGGTCCAGTCAAAACTAGAACCAAAACCAATGGTTCCTTTATTAAAAGGGAACCGAGGTCCTTGAACCTGCTTTTCGGAATCGGATCCATGGGCACATCTACTACAAAGTGGGTATTTTTTTGAAGAAGAAAAAAAAAAGCAATTAATCCTATAAATTGGCTAACCAAATCTTTCCATTATTTAATATCTATGTTCAATTTAATAGTACTTTCTTTTTGGTACAAAGGGAGATTGTAGTTCACGAGCGACTAGAGACAAATGTTCCGTGGGCAAGAGACACCTCGAACATCATATTCAAGCCACGGGACAACTCCGGACGGTGGTTCTGGAAGCCTATAGCAACCGAGAGAGACCGAAGCCGCATACGACGCTAGATAGTCCGCGGCAAAGTTCGCCTCACGAAATATATGAGAAATCTTCACCTGCCAATCTCGACTCAAGAGCTCACGAATCCTTATTCCCAATTCTGAATGAACATCATCCATATCCTCTATATTATTTGTGAAACCCACAACAATAGAATTGTCAACTTCAGCCTCAACTCGTCGGTATTCCAAACTCCAAGCTAAACTCAGACCCTGGAATTATCCCCATAATTCTGCTCCAGTTATGGAGCATTCTCCAATGTTCATTAGGAAGCCAGCGAGCCAATTGCCATGAGAGTCCCGTAGCAGCCCTCCCGAGGATCTTTTATAGGCCCCGTCAGAGTACTTTTAATAGTACTTTCAAGGATACATACATTGTTACATACTACATTCCCAAATCGTTTCACTCATACAACACTTCAAAAATATTTGATACCATATATAGTAAAAAAGATGCGTCACCAAATTTCATAATTATATATGTCACAAATATACCTCTTTTGTTTGTGACATATCCATCTTCCATTTACATTTAGATTCTGAAATCCAACAAAGCTGGAGCAACACCAAGCCCCTTAGCATTATAGTGCAGAGAGTATTCCCTGACTGTAGTTTCTCTGTACTTTGGAGGATTGTCTTCTGAACATAACTCCTTTATGGGCCCATAAATCTTTGAAGATGGCATCAAACCTGTCGAGAAAAAGCATGCAACCGACACTCTCGGACCTTTGCGGTTAGCCAGCACTCTGTGTTGGCTGCTTATAAACTTGTCATTTNGTTAGTGTAATTTTGAATTTATATTAAAATAATATTTAAAATAAAATAATTAAAGTTGATTTTATGTAAAAGTATAAGAGGGGTTATGTGGAGTCATGATTAGTTAAAATTATATGAGTAGATAAATAGTGAATTAAAGTTGATATAATGTGTAAGAAGGATTGAGTGGTATTATTTAATTATTGTTGATAATATTGAGGATAGTGAGGTTTGAGTTAAAATTGAGTTAGATTTGAATTAAAAAAATGATTAGTTAAAAATGATTAGATTTTTTTAAAAAAAAATTGTATCCAAGCATTAATACTATTTTTTCATGTTTGAATTTTCTTCACACATAATAATCTCCTCCACAAAACCAAGAAAAGAAATATTTCCTAGTTTTGCAATTAAACTAATCATCAATAGTAATTTTTCCCCCAAGAAAAAAAAAAAAGTTTGGTCGTAAAATGTTACCTGTAAAAGATCTCCAATGTTGACGACAAGAGCTCCAGGGACAGGGGGAATATCGACCCACCGATTCTCATAAAGAACTTGAAGGCCACCAATACTGTCCTGTAAAAGCACGGTTAAAAAATCGTAGTCCGAGTGCTTGGTGGCCCCTAAGGTAAGCTCTGGCTCGGGACACGCTGGGTAGTAGTGGTAAAGGGTGGCCAGCCCCTCCGCGCATCCCATGTTGTTGAGATAGTTCGTGTCAAGACCAAGAGCTTCAGATAGTAACTCGAACAAGAATATGCCGAGTTTGTGCACTTGCTTGGAGTACTCAATCAAGATTTCTCTGTAAACGAGTAAGGGTATTTTTGTATATCAAAAAACTCAATCCATATTCAATTCATACTCAAAATCTAAAGTAACTTTAACCCAACTCCACTATTTTCAATATTGTTAATATAATTAAATAATATCAGTCTCATTCCTACCCATCATATCCACTTTAATTTACTATTCATCCATTCATATAATTTTAACTAACTATAACTTCAGTGCATCTCCAATTACATTTTCGTTGCTCTATTTTGTTGACACATGGCACAAATTAACCTATGTGTCATGGAAAATGTCTATAAGACTTTCTAGATGTAGAAGTCATTCTAAACAACTTTTGTTATATATTATATTATTCATTCAAGTTATCTCTTTCTCTAACCAATTACAATTTTACACATCATAAATGATACCACAATTAACATTAACCATTGGAGATATAATTGTTTTTCCATGGCATACAAAATGAACAATATTCCAGTGGAGATGGTCTCTCATCAACTCTCATATTTTTCCATCAAATCAATTTTAATTATTTTATTTTAAATATTATTTTGATATAAATCAAAATTGCACTAACAACTAACTATACTACTTTTTTTTCAAAATTAACTCTGTTTAACCAAATAAAACTCAAAATGTATACAAGCACGCCTCAAGTCCGTTAAAAATCCAAACATTGTGCCAATTAAAAACGGTTACCTGCAGGCCTCCGGCAACTCATCTGGCTCCGGAGCCTTAGGAGCCATATTCACGTATGTCGTGTCCCTCCAGTTAGCCGAGGCCGCCCGATAAAGATCAAAGTTACTATTATGAACTACCGTTTTCGAAACATCCCTCGTGTACCACTTCTTCTTCACCTCAACATCCTGCTCGTAGAACCTTCTAGAGCCTTCCAACATTTCCTCCAAAACATTCACCGGGATTCCGTGGTTAACGACTTGGAAAAAGCCCCACGTCCCGCATGCCTCTCTAATGGTTCCCACCACATTTTCTCGGTTAAAGTCGCCATCGAGGTCAATAACCGGGATTTTGAGTGACCCGGCTTTTGTGATGTCATCATTAATTAGGTCGTGAGTATCGGGTGGTGAAAAGAAGATTCTCGGGACTTGAGTGATACCGGCATCTACAAGGCCTTTCACGCCGGCTTTTGTCTCGTCGAAAGCCTTGAGCTCGATCGTTCGGTCGAAACCGGGCTCTTTAAGTTGGGCGATTTCAACTTGGCTCGATTCTTCCATGATTTTTCTGGGTGAGGAAAGTATGAGCAAACTGGTTAGTTTGTGAGGAACTTGATGAATATATCTTCTTAAATAGCCTTGTGAAGACGACTGATTCAAGTGCCACATGAAATGGTTGAAGTTTTTTGCATAATCAAAGGAAATTAGTGTTGACTTTCATTCTCTCTTGTTTAAGCTTGTCAAACAGATCTCTTTGACAGATATTGTGGTTATGGTTGTTTAGTGAAACATGTGACACCCTTTTTTTATTCAAAATTCTTATATTAGAAAAATTATGCTTCCAAATTTCATATAGGGTTGATTGTGACTTGTAATTTTTTATTGTTCAAGGTTTTCAAGCGAATCTCTTTATTGATATTGTGGTTGTGGTGTATGTAAAAACAATACCCATTTAAGACGAAACATGTGATGCCCTGTTTTGTTTTGTTCTGTTTTTTTAATTGAATCCGAGAAAGTTCTTGAAACAAATCTTGAGAGAAAGCATCCAAATCACAAAAGTTTAAAATTTGACGGTCAATTTCAATAGTTCTTACTTCACACGGGACGGGGGCTTGGAAACAAAAATTCGAGGGATTTAGGTTTATTTAATTATTTTTGTAAGAATTTTGTATCGCTTAAAAATAAAAATGAAAAAGTATTAAATTATTTTAATAAATATGAAAATAACTTTAAAATTGTAAAGAAGTACGATTAAATTGTTATGATAAATAATAAATTAATAATCATTAATAGTTAAAAAATGTGAGCAGGTAATTAAATAGTATTGTTTATTTAAAATATAAAATAATAATAATTATTTTTCACTATTTTTATGTTTTTTATCAATAGAGAAAAAGTTTGAAAGGATTAATGTATATCAATCAATGTGATACAAAATTAGCATATCAAGAAAAATTAATTGTAAAGCAATAGATATGACACGAAGATTAGCATATCATTCACAATGAATATTTAGAAATATGAGGAAATTAATGTCTACCACCAATTCATGTGATGAGAAATTAACATAGCATACAAAATGGATATTTTATTGAAATGTCGTGAAATCTTGAAAAAGAGTTTGTGGATAGGTGAGAAATTCGTACGAATACATATAAAATAAAAATTAGTATAATTCAAATTGATATAATACAAAAATAATATAATATTAATTGATAATAATTTGTAATTAAATATATGTATATTTGGTCGGACTCTCATTTTCCTTGTAAATTATTGTGCACATAATTGCTCAGCCATGCCAGAACAAAAGTCAAGCAGATCTCATGGGATAATAAACCAAACCAATGAAATAATCCAACCAGGCCACTCAGAAGCAAAGCATAAATGTGTTTCCAATTTAGAAGACAAACCCAACATCATCATCACTATAAGTGCCTTCTACCTACGATTAATTCAAAAATAAGATGCGCCAAAGCCTAGAAACATAGTTTCAAAGAGAAAATCGCAACAAAAATCTCATGGGATACTAACGACACAAACTTACCAAAACCACTGATTCTATTATCATAATCAGGCCATTGTTAGTAAAATTGATGTGTGCCAAATGAAACAGTAGCATTGACCATCGTCTTAGTTCGTTTTTGATTTAGTGGCCCTCCTCTTTGATGATCTCCTTGGCATCGAGTTCTTCATGCCGATGAAAAAAAGCAATGCCCCAAGCAGTGCCAAGTTCTACTCAGGAAAAAAAAATAATAAAAAAAATGACTAGGTTAGCTACTCAAATATAATAGACAACTAACCAAATACTTATTAAACTTCCTAATGCCATTTTTATTAGGAGTCGCACATTCTTTTTATAAGAATACGCACCTGTGTGAATTTGACAAAGAGATGACCGAATTCTTTCTTGTCAGCATCATAATTGTAGAAATCGTACAAGATGGGTGACGAAATTGCTTGATGCAAAATCTGCAGATACATGAGAGGCTCTTAGGAACAGTGCTTAGAAAGAGCATTAGTAGATGAAAAACAAGCAACGGACTGATATGAATACCAGGAGTGAAGCTCCAAGAGAATTGCCGAAGATGAACAACAGACTCCCAACTGATTTCATGATGATGGCTCCCAGAATCAAATGTTTCATCTGAAATATGAATGCGAACACATTTACATGCATATGGTGCGAATATCACCTTAAAGTTTGTAATTACCTTACACGAACCTTTTCTGGAGGGTGCACTTTGGTAAGGCAAAAACAAATGTCAGTGTACATATGTAGTTTTACAAAAAAACTGAGTGTTTCTACTTCTTCTTGTTCTTTTTTTTTTTTTTTTTTTTTTTTTTTTTTTATATATACATATTTTTTGTATTTAACCTAAACATAAAAGTAGTCTTTGTAACTAACACTAAAGAATGTCGCATGTAATCCTTACTTCTACATATGGAACTTGAATTCCAGTTTGTGCGGTAACGTGCTTCGAGAAAACATTGAACTTTGGCTTTAAAACCTTCGCCGCGGGCCCACCATCAATGCCAAATTCATTGAACCTAACAATGTGCAAGTGGGAAACATCAGAAATATTTCAAATCTCAAATGCACATTTGAGGGCTAAACTGTGGCAGATATTCATATTGACAACTCCATGAAGTACCAAATTATCACACAAAACAAACACAGAAGACAGAGCAGAAGGTCACAGACTCACGTTAAACAACTACTCATTCTGCAGATAAGATTGGATTTAACTTATATGTGATCAACAGGCAAGACCTAGGCTAGGTAAACGAGAAGACATAAGACTAATAAACAATGCCTTAACAAACATTATAATAAATAAAAAGATGCCTACTCGTCTTTACAGGACTAGGAAACAATTGCCTATTGTCAAGAAAAACAGCTCTATTTATATCAAATAATTCATGCTTAATTATTTTTAGTGCCAGAATTTACAGGTAATTGATGACAGTATCACAAACATATAAAAACTATCAAAGTTCCCATTATGGAATGTGATGCTCCAATTGATATTGCAATACTATTACTGAGTACGTCTGATAACATAAAGAGATCAACTAAGTATTTCCTCCTAAATAAAAACCTACATCACACTTAGATTAGTGGCATAGAATCTAAAGTAAATAAGCACTCATAGAAATTTATGAGAGTACTTTTTACTTCTAGAGGAAGTGGTTGATTGCTGTGGAAGCAAGCAGTTGAGAATCAAAAGTTGACAGCATTAGCAAAAGGAATCAAAGAACTGATTAAATCAACTGATAGTTCAATTAATTAGTTGTAGAAAAATTCTATATATTTCGAAATAAAAACAGAAGCAGAATCTAAAATATGCTCTTTCTGCTTTAAGTTTAGGTTTTGGTAAAAGTGGGGAAAATCAGAAGCAGAAATCAAACTCGCACACTAAAAAATAGTTTGGTTTCCAAAGCCCACGCCAAAAGTTACATCTTTTTAAATGGTTGCACTCACATTCCCTAAGTAAAGTTCAGTTACAATGTAAATCAAATAGCAATTGGTTGTTTCCAGCAATACCGTCAGCATCTTAACAATGTATGCAGCTTCTTCAGCTAGTAAAGTTTAAAAGAAAAGCAAAGTTACACAAATCTAATTCATTAAAGGGCCCTGATTGCTTTATTCCCATCAATCATCAGAAACACGATACAAATTTTCCCAGCAACATTATTTTTTTTTCTAGCAACATTAATGAATAACATACTGTGGATGATTGCAACATTATTAATTAGAACTTGCCTGAGCCACCACATTTTTTTCCACATACCACATCAAGCAATCCATAGATTAAGATCTCGATAAATACCCAAATACGTAAAAATACAAGGAATAGGTGAAAGATGATAAAGAAAACAAGAGAGCAATGCCGAATTAAAATTGCACGGAACCCGGAATTAAAGTCAATCCAGCTCTAGTTCATATTCATGAACTAGATAATCCACGATCACAATACACAAAGCCAAAGTTTTTAACACAAAAATTCATTGACAAATCCATAAGATCCAATTAATTGCAAACGATCACATTCAAGCTACTAAACAAACTACAACTAAGAATCCGACACGACCAGGAATACAACAGAAACAGAAAAGGGCAAATTGAGTACACAAAATTTGCAATGTTAAAAGATTTCACACATTAAGAGTAAAAACAGACACAGATCCGGACGAGAGATGCCTTACTCTTGGTAAGCGGAGAGAACGAAGATCGAGACGAAGAGGAGTCTGCCGAGGAAGGAAATAAACGCCATTGAATATCCTCTCTCTCGCTCTCTCAAATTCTCTCTCTAGCAGAGTATTTTGCTGCTGGATTTGGGAGAGGAGAGATTCTTGGGGCCTTGTAAGTTGTAATTTCTCCTGCGTTTTGCCCTTTAATTTGAAGTTTTAACCTAATAAGGCTGATATTAAATCAAATAAATAATCAAAAAAGACCAGACTATAATAAGTGAAGAAAATAATGATAATATGAGATGTTTGCATACAGAAAAATTTACTCAAAATGAGTTTTTTTGGTTAATTAGAATTAATTTTAAAAAAAAAATAATGAGTTTTTTTGGTTAATCAGAGTTACTTTTTTGGTTAATTAGAATTAATTTTGAAAAAAAAAATAATGAGTTTTTTTGGTTAATCAGAGTTAATTTTGAAAAAAAAAATATGGTTAGTTGTTAGTGAGATTTTGATTTCATATTAAAATAATATAAAATAAAATAATTAAAGTTGATTTGATATCTATCTTTGTATATATAACTATTTATATAACATAGTAGCAGAAAATCTAGAAACATTTTAATGCATATCTTATTTGGAAATTTTTTAACTATATGCATTAATTGTTTGCATAAATATATTTTCAAGTCACATATGATCAAAAAGATTCTCTCTTTGAATAATTTTATTAAATTATACAATAATTTTATTGATATTCATTATAATAAATAACAATTTGATTTTTCGTGATTCATGTTGATAATATTTTAGTCAACATAAAATAAATTTTAAATCTTAACCATATTATTAATTTTTTTTCCCACAAATATTGACTTTCGTCCTAAAATATTTATAAACAATAGTAAGATGTTAAATATTTTCTCCTTCTAACTAATTAGGCGAAATCAAGTTGATGTATTAATATTTATCGATAATGTTTTTAACACACGCATTGTCTATGTCTGCCACGGGCAACAAGCTGCTAGCAGGGGTGTTTGCGCGCACGACAACAACGTCCGTCGCCGATCACGAGGTCGCAGTTAACTCACCTCGTTGGGGTTGCCTGTCGCATTCGAGTTCATCTACGTTCGTCAAGTTCATCAAAATTAAAATAAAAAATTACATAATTTCAATTGTACGACCCACACATAGGCGTTACATGAATGATCTAATAAAGAAATAAATTATATGACGTCTCACTATGCGTTAGAATTATTACAATTATTCCACAGCCCAAAAAATCATCAATATGTCCTAGGCATTAAAAACATAAATCTATATATATATATAATTGCTAGCTAGGCAATAAATTTTACCTAATAAATAAAACCTAATAAATTTTACCTATGTGGCAAATCATTAATAAAACCTAATAAATTTTATTTATGTGACATTAATACACCCAATCTCATTAATAAGAAAATATTTCATTACATTTTTGGGTTAATTAAGACAAAAACCATTATATTTTATGTTAATTGATTAATAATTATATTTTTTATTGAATAATATAATAGTTAATATTAAAATTAGTAATTATATTTTATATTAAATAATATATGAAAGTTACATAAAATTATATTTTACACTAAAATCAATATTTTTTTATATGATGAAGATAATGTTTATTAATAAATTAATTTTTTTTATGTCATAGTAAAATTTCTTAAAATCACATAAGCAATTGTTATAATAAATGTAATATTTTTCAGCTAATTAATTGGTCATGATCACTCAAAATTATAAAAAGTATATATTTATAGCATTTTATGCAATCAATATAGTAATTCGTATACAATAAAATCGTGTGTACTATTTATTTTAACCAATGATCAAATTTTAAAATATAATACTATTATATAATTTATGATTTTAATATTATATACATAAATATGACTTATAATACTATATGTTTGAAATATAATACAATTATATAACTTATAATTTTTATATTATATACATAAATATAATTTATAATATTTAATTTTATTTACATTTGTGCAAATGCACGAGGTCGAATACTAGTGTACATGAACATAAACACATATTGCTCGTCAGAAATTAGTACGCTAATATATTCCTCGTGACTAATAATCATTTAAGTTGCGAGTTTTTTACTTTGGGTATACTAGTCTTGGCAGTAAGGGTCAATTGCTGCGGTGCCAAATTTTAAGGGTTGTCTATGTGGCATGTTACATGGCCGGAAGACCGTCGCTAGTCCATTCGTCGTAGCCAGAATACTGTCGATTGCCGAAAAAATCCACCAGAGATCTCCCCATCGCGAGAAACATCGTCTGCTGCTCAATGGCGATGCAAGCTTGTCGCGCGCATTCACGTTGCTGCTCACTTAATGTTACAAATAGAAAAATAGTATTTGAATGAAAAATAAAATTCTATGAGCGATTAGAATGTTTAGATATTTAATTACTTTTGAGATTCTTGGTTGTTAATTATTAGATAATTTCTCCAAACCACGAGCGATTAGAATTAGGAGTTTATTTTCTTTTCGTGTGTGATCAACACCAACTCTAAATTCCGAACCACCTTTCTCGAAAGATCGACCCTTAAAGTCGGAATTCATACCATACTCTATAGAAAGAAAAAAATATTATAATAATACAAAAGCAATATTGTGCCTAAAATGAAGAATTTAATTGCGAGATATTTTACATATTTTTCATGATTATCTTCACCACAAAATAGTTTTTGTCAAATTTTGTTTAGCAAAAATGGAGAATTTTATATTTTTTCACTGAAAGATACTTTTTTTTTGTAAGGAAAAACTTTATTCTTAGCCCTCTAAGCTGACCACTGTCCGAAATTAGTATACTGATTTATCCCTCTAAAGACAATCATTTAAGTTACAAGTTTCCTTTCTCTATGACGTGGAATTTTCTTTCTCGATGACTCCCACTCTCTTTCTTCGACAGGAAACCATCGTCGAAGAGCCGCCGCTGGAGAAAGTCGTCGGGAAACGAGCGTCACCGCATTGATCTCTTGTTGCCGCCAGGTCGACGTGTCCTAGTGCTCTTCGCCGCCTGGGCGTATTGAAGTCGCTGGGAGCTCCGCGCAAATTCGGCGCTGCACAAAATTGTTGTCGGAAGATGCCTTCCCGCGCGCACGAGGCATACACTGCCTTTTCCTTCATTGACTTCCTCACGTGCATGTTGCGCTGCTGTCTGTCGATTGACTAAGAGCACAATGCACGTGGTCGAAGCACGAACAACACCATAGTCGAGGCTTGTCGTGGACCGCCAGACACCAGGCTTCTGCATACGACCACACGCATGGGCTCCTACGAGAATATCGCATGCTCATCGCCACCCACGCCAGCCCAGTGCAAGTAAATGCAGCTATTGACCTCAATTACAACGAACTTGGCTAATTCGATTGAACCTCTTTAGCAAGAGCCGAGTGCCCTCAGCCAATCACCCCTCGCCATCCGTTGTCACCAGTCGGCCTTGCCCGAAGTGTCCCAACCCACGCATTGGCGACGCCTGCCACCGGCAGCAAGCTGCCAGCAGGGGTGTCTGCGCGCATGACAGCAACGTCTGTCGCCGATCATGAGGTCGCGGTTAGCTCGCCTCGTTGGGGTTGCATGTCGACTTCGAGTTCATTTGCGTTCATCGAGTTTGTCAAAATTAAAATAAAAAATTACATAATTTCAATCGTATGACTCACGCAGAGGCGTTACACGAATGATCTAATAAATTAAGAAATAAACTATACGACGTCTCGCCGTGTGTTGGAATTATTACAATCATTTCACAACCAAAAAAATCCTCTACATGTCTAAGGCATTGAAAACATAGATGTACATGAACATAAACACATATATACAAGCTATAATAGTCAGATTAAAGAATCCCTACGAAGACGATATATTTGCATTTCTCCAAATAGGACCTTCCCCTATCTCCTTCCAATATAAATAATTTTTTAATATATAAAAATCTTTTTAATAATTAAAATTATGTATATACATCTTTTTCAATATTAATGCATATTTCGTCTATTTTTAAATTCTAGAATTTTTATTTTACAATTATCTAAATATTCAATAATACATCTGTTGACGGCCGTAACCGTCAGCCATCCCTACTTGGGGGGGTCGGACCCCCGGTGGGCCATGACCATGCACCTGGGACTCCTGAACTTCCACAGTGCTCTTGCCCTAGGGTGAAAACCCATATTTGGACTCTGTGGATTTTGTCCTCCCCCAGGCTTTTGAGTTAGGAGTTTGGATTTTCTAGATCCTGGTCGGGGCTTTGATCATGTCTTTCTAGGGTATCTTCAACTGTCGTTTTTGTTGAGGAGGTTATGAGTTTTTGGTCAATAGTGAGAAAGGGCTTTATTGTATCGACAACGATTGTGTTGTAAGTTTTGTGTTTTTCTTCTAATTTGTCGTTTCAGTCCAGTTGCATCTGGCTTTTAGTCTGATTTATGGAGTTGTTGTATATCTTTTTTGGAGTTGTTTGTTTTACGGGTGATTGTACCCCTTTGGTCGACTGTGTAATTCCAAGGGGGATGAATCTAGTTTTTATGATGGCTCTAATAGTGTCTGTAATATTTTAAGTTTTTAAATTGTCAATATAATTATCATTTAAAAAAGAAAATTGTAAACAAAAGACAATATTATTTTGAACAATTTTAAACAAACCAAAAAAAAAAAAAAATTCTCATAAATTAGCCTTATCATGTCTCTCAAGTAAATGAGGCCTTAATTATGCTCTATAGCCGATCCGACCAGGTCAAGCCCGTTGGCCGTCGACCCATGGTTTTACTCGAGTTGGCTTAAGTTCATGTGTCTTTTACAAATTAAACCGCCGGTAGTTGGATGAATTTACAAATTGAATTTTTATCTTTTTGAATTTTTTATTTTTTTTATTTTTTAATTCGGCGCTGAATTGTGAACTACCAATTCAGTGAACCGTCCCCCATATATATATATATATATGGTTCTGTTACGGTTCGCATAAAATATGAGCCTGAAGTGAACCAACGGTTCCAACTCGACACCGTCACAGAATCCGCATTTGGCCACCTCTATCCCTAATCCCAAATTCCCAACGAGCAACCTCAAACACTCGGTGGCGCTCAACTCAAATTCGAATTTTCAAGAAAAAGAAAAAAAAAAAACCCTCGCTTCCATTTTCTCTGCTCTCCCCAATCTCGATCGACCTCCAATCCGAATCCCTCCGGCCGACGAAATGGCTCCCAGGAAAGCTGCCGCCGCCGGAGGCAACGACCAATTCCCGACGCTCAAGCTCATAATGGAAAAGGGCCCGCTTTCGGGCCAAACCAAAGACTTCAATCCCCGAATCCAGATCCGCATAGGCCGGCTCGTTCGCGGCAACACTCTGTCCATCAAGGACGACGGCATCTCCTCCAAGCACCTCCTCATCGGAGTCGATCCCGCCGCCTGTGGCTGGGCCGTCACCGACCTAGATTCGTCTAACGGCACGGTGCTGAACGGCGAGCGCCTCAAGCCGTTGGAGCCAGCTACTCTTTCCGACGGTGATGTCATCAAAATCGGCGAGCAGACTTCAATTAAGGTCAAGTTCGAAGCTAGTGCTGACGAGACTGAGGTCAATACTTCTCGGAATGTGAGGAGGAACGCACGTCGGGGGGTGAGGAAGCAAGTGGAGGAATTGGGGGTGATAGACGAGGATTCAGAGTTAGGGTTTGAGATTGAAAATGAGAACAATTTGGGGCCTGGGGTTAGAAATGAGAAAAATGTTGATTTGGGGATGAAAGGTCTAAAATTTGAGGTTGTTGATGAGGAAAACATGAGAGGGCGAAGGACTCGTGGTTCGAAGGCTAAAGAACTCGAACATGTGAGTAAAGAAGAAACCGATAGCATGGGGAAAGTAAGTTCAAGGAGGACGCGAAATTCTGAGAAGAGCAAAAATGTGGAGAATTTAATACAGGATATGAATTTAGACATGAACAACAATTTGGAGCCTAGTGGGGTGAAATGTAGCGAAAGAGTGAGCATGAGGAGGACCAGGAGTTCAAGAAAGGAAGGTAATATAGGCGATCCTTTAATAGATTTGAGCGTTCTTGAAAGCAAAAGGCCACAAAAGGGTACTAGAGGAAGGAAAAATATACTAGTAGAGGCTCCTTTAGATGTAAAAGAGAAGGAAGTGCCAAATTTGGAGGATCAAGAATTGTCTGATGAAGAGAAAGTAATGTCAGAAGTTGAAGTAGACAAGCTGTTAGAGAGTGAAACTCGTGAGAGAGAAAATGCTACTGCATTTGCTAGCACGTCTGGTGTCAAAGATAATGGGGTCAGTGTTGGAATTGGTGAGATGGTGCCGGATTTGGAGAAAATGACGTTGGGTGAATGGTTTGAATTCTTGGAAGCCTATCTTCCCAAACAAATTATTGATGAGACGGAGCAGATGATATCTGAGATGAGGAAAAAGGCGGAGAGGTTGAATGAATTTATGCTACAGCATAAGAATACCAAGAGTAGTGTGGTTATGGACTAGAAAAGCGGATGGGTTCCCTTTGTGCTCTTTTGGTAATTTTGACTAGCATTTCCTTACCTCCTATCATCTATAAGGTTACTGTGCTTAGATTAGTGCTGCTGAAATTTGTGCACTTGTGCTGTGTCGTTTATGACATTATCTGAATGTACTCTGCAGTTATTGTAATTATATGCTGATTCAAAAATTAATCATTGAACTCAGTGGCTACAGGCTACAGGCCACAGTTTAGTATGAATGCCTAATGCACCTTTTATGTTACGTAGCTGTACTACTTTTAACAAAATTATATCTGTTGAATTGAATTTTGAGGAAACTCAACTGTCCATTTGATTTTGCTTTTGCTTCTACTTTTGATTGAAAAATCTCCATATGGGCCAAGTTGAGAGCATGTTATTTAGAAAAAAACAATCGAGAGACCTATCTTTCAGTTTCCTAAATCATTTATTTCTTATGTTCCAGTTATTCAAGATTTATGGTTCATGTTTGTCATGGATTATTAATAAATGAAGAGGCACGGCAGTTGACAGGTATGTATAGGACCATGAGCGGTGATGGTTGTGTACAAGGATAAAATGTGTGTGGCCATTTGTGTGTATATGTGCACGGGTTCTTTCTGAAATAGGAAAGTTGGTTGTCTTTGTTTGCATTAGGTGAACATCATGCTAGTTTCTCGAGCTGCAGATACTCTTTGAAGTTCATGCTAGTTTCTTGATTTGTAATATCTCTCAGCTCCTAAGATCATATCCAGTCATGTGTGGTTTCTGTTTTCGGAGAGGAGTTTGGATTACTTTCGTCGACTTATCTAATTCTGCGCATTCAGTTTTTACAATTTTTTTATTAAAATGTATTTTGCAAAATTATTATTTTTGTTGCTGATGCAAATTATAGTAGTGTTCCTATTAGATATAGGAAATTAAGCTGGTAAATAATATAATGTGTCGATCTTACTACCTGAATGACACATTTTTATTTCTTTACATGTGTTTTATTATTAATACTTTTAATGCACTTATTCCATAAATCTTATATCAGAGATGACAATAAAATTTATTTAATTAACTATATGTCTTTACAACACTTCTCTTTAATAAAACGATGGTGCATATAATCTTCTTTTATTTTTCCTTCCAACATCCACAAAACTCTTACAATCACCGGAGTGCCATTTCCACTTCATGTTCATGTAAAGTTGAAACATTACATGAATAATCTGAGCCTTGTCTTTCCTCTCCACACCCACACCTCGCAGCTGAATAAACATCTCACAAGGAAACCACTCTTTCCCCTATAAGAATAGAGAAGTTTGCCTGCTCGTACAAAATTCTGGATGATATAGAGCATGGTGCAATTGCCCTGCCTGTAAAGCTGTCTGCATCTGCAAGAACTCTCTGAAGTATCCATCAAAGCCATCGACCGTGAAAATCGCGGGTAGGCCGCCTCAAGAATGTTCGACTCCTCAGCCACCTCAACATCTTCTGCTCGTTTGCTCCGGGGACCTGGTTATTGTGGTGGCTGCCGGCCATAGACTCGGAGGTTTAAGGTGCACGAAGATTGACCATTGGCCCTCAGATCGCCTGAAAAAAAGGAATGGTGATGATGTTGATGATGAGGATGGTGATTGGAAAATGAAAAAATAAAAAGAGTATTATTTGCAGGTGGAACTTTTTTGAGTGATTTAAGCTGGAACTTGTTCTCCCTTGCGATTATAGTAAAAAGATGGTGAAAAGCAAGTTTGTTTCGAAGACCGAGGCTTTGATTCAAGAAAGGCAGATTCCGATGGAGCCTATTTCGGCCTTCGGCCCATTTAGATGAGGGCGGGTGTCAGAAGGTTTGTTGTTTCTAAAATGGTGAGACAGACGGCAGGATCAGATGGTGAAGGCGGTCGAGAGGTTGAAGATGTATTTGGAGATTGAGAGGAAGCATAAGGCTGATTTGGAGATGGTGTTTCTTAGTTGTAGCTTTCTAGTGAGTATTAATTTGCTTCTCTCTCTTTTGAGTTTGTGTTTCTGTATCTGTGCTCGTATCTTCAGTATGTTATAATAGCCGAGCCTCATAGGCTTGCGCCTGCTCGACCCGAGCCGTTACCGCCTCTGCAATCATTTTCTGTAGCTCGATCCGAGTGAGACTGATGACCTGATCATCAGGTCAAGGTTATGAAATTTGAGACGAGGTTTCTCTATCGTCTCACTTACAGCCTCTTCCTTATGCTATGCTCCTGCTCCTCTTCAATGAGAATCAGTTAGTTAGTTGTGGATCTATACTAGTGAAGGATTAATTCACTCAATAATTACATATCTTTAAGGAACATATCAGTTTCTCTCTCCCAAGAACCCGAGATCGCTGGAAGACGTCCGAGGAGAACTCCACATCACCGATTCAACCGACGGTCACCGAATCAGTTAATTGTTTTAAAATTTCTTAAATCATATATTTAGTATATTTATCATCTAAATACATAAAAGTAATAGAATAAATATTTTTTAAATAAATTTTATACATCAAAGTGTTGATAAAATTATATCTTATAATAAATATTTAACATATAAATATATATACATAGCTTTTATTTTTAAAATAAAATATTAAAAAATAAATAAAACAAATTATAATGATCGGGTCAAAAAGGGTTGACCCGACCTAGTCAATACCAAGTCGACTGGGTCAAGGCCAAGTTGACTGGATTTGACCGGTTTTGTTGTTATTCAATTTGAAGCACACACTCAGACTGATTCTAGATTCGGGTTGATTAAATCCTGGGTGATCCAGGTTTGAATAATTATGTTATTCAAGTTTTAATATGTGACTTACAAATCTATATTGATTATAAGCGAAAATTTATTTTTACCACACGATTTAAAATAATTGCAATTGTATGAGGAGCTAACTTTTAATTTCACCCTTACCTATTGCGTGACATCTAAGTGTGAGCATGGAAGATATTAGTTACCAAAAAATCACACACATAGACGCACACAATACACACATGACTCCTTCCACGTGCCGAACTGGATGAGTCATGAGGAATTGGAAATATATCTGTTCAACATAAACAAACAAAAGTAATAATAAAAAATCAAACAACGGAAATATCTGCGTGGCAGCAAAAAATAATTTTAAAAAAAGACGAAAAAAGGTTGACGACATACTTTTATGCGGTGTGAGGGTTGACAGCACAAGATTCTTCTATTTTATTTTATTTTATTATTTTATATTTCCTAGAACAAATCAAATGTTAGTCCAAGTTCTCTGCATGTAACTCCCCTGCGGGACCCACTCAAACCACTTCAGATTTTTCCACCCCAAATTCCGTTCCCCACGTCATCCTTTCTTGCTCTACACATCAATTCTCTTTATTTTCTTTTGGTCAATTTCATCACCTGCCCTTTTTATCTTCTCTCTCTCTCTCTCTCTCCCATTTCTTTTTTCTTTTTCTTTACTCGATCCCTTTGCATAGCTCTAACGTTGGGAGCTTGAAAATCTCTCTTTCCCTCTCTCTTTTTAGAAAATTCAGTGATACCTTGTATGTAAACTGTCTTGCCCACTCTTCTCTCAAGAAAAATCTCTTCTTGAAATTTAGCAGAGGGAGAGAGAGAGTTGGGTGAAAAGAGACGGTACCTAATAAAATTCTTATTAATTTCATTTAGGAGCATAAAAAAAAATTTATTATTATTATTATTTATGTTTTTGCGTGGTGGGATTGTGTATAGAGTGATGAATCTGGGTTTAGAGAGGGTATTAGAAGGACCCTGAAGCTAAAAATCGAATCTTTTTGGTTGTTTCTTTCTCGTGCTATTTTTTTATAATTTTGATTTTTTTCCTCTTTCTAGTGGGTTTTGTCATTTGGGTTTGGTTTTCTTCAACAGTGTCAGATATTCGCAGTGCTCTGTGTTACTTATGCGGCGTTTAAGTTATTCGATTGCAGAGGTTTATATGCTTGCATGTAATAAGATCTGAAGCTTAGAGGCCAAGTGTGCATTTTGTGAGGTAACTATTTTTTCGATTTTATAACTGCCTTTTTGGTTTTCTTTGAGTTCTTTTCTCCTTTCACTTGTTTTTTTTTTTTTAAATCCATTAGATCTTATGTGTCTATGAATTTACTTGTTTGTTCTGTTAACTTTGATAATTGTATATCTTTTTTGTTACTAAATTCAGCATTCTCCATCTGATCTACATTACAGATTTTATGTGCAATATCAAGTTTATGTTTTCATCACATTACAGATCCTTTTTTCCTCTCATGTTTCATTTATCAATTACCCTTACTCTGAAGCACATGTATGTCATTACCATACACACACATTAACTTACTGAATAAGAATCAAAATACAATTACCAGTTTCTGTTTGCAGAAGAGTAACAAACACCAAACATCTGAAACCCTGCTCTCCATGACCCCATTTCTGAAAAAGCCAGCTAAATCAAGTTAAAAAAGAACAACAATAGCAAAGAAAGAACGAAAAATGCTGTCCACTTGGAGCAAAAGGGACAAACACTTGCTGCACTAGATAACACAAATGTCTCCAAAGGCATTATCAGCACAGGTGTTACTAATAGCCTTTCTACTCCTCCTCGTCCCTTCATCAGCCGAAAACGAAACCGATGGCGAGTCCCGTTGCAATTGCGAGGAAGACGTTGGTTTCTGGACGATCGAGACCATCCTCAACTGCCAGCGAGTGAGCGACTTCATGATCTCGGTAGCCTACTTCTCGATCCCAATCGAGCTCGTTTACTTCCTCAGCTTCTCCACAATCCCGTTCAAATGGGTCATCGTCGAGTTCATTGCCTTCATTGTCCTCTGCGGCATGACCCACTTCCTCAATGGCTGGACCTACGGACCCCACCCTTTCCAAATCATGCTTGCCTTAACCGTCTTCAAATTCCTCACAGCCATGGTCTCGTTCGCCACCGCAATTACCCTCCTCACCCTCCTCCCGCTTCTGCTGAAAATAAAAGCAAGAGAGCATTTGTTAAAAAAAAAGGCGTGCGACCTCGACCGCGAGGTCGCCATAATCATGAAGCGTAAAGAGGCCGGCTTACACGTCCGTATGCTGACTCAGGAGATCCGCAAGTCTCTCGACCGTCACACGATCCTCCACACGACCCTCGTCGAGCTCTCCAAGGTCCTCGACCTAAAAAACTGCGCCATATGGATGCCGAACAAGAACCGAACAGAGATGAACTTAACCCACGAGGTTCGCGGCCGGACGTTCTCCAGCAGCTTCAGCTCGTCCGTCATCCCTTACGGCGACGCGGACGTGCTCGAGGTGAAGAAGGGCGGAGNGCGGGGCCCGGCCCGCCGGGCGCGGTGGCGGCCGTCCGCCTCCCGATGCTCCGCGTCGCCAACTTTAAAGACGGCGGCACGCCGGAGATGGTCCCGCAGTGCTATGCAGTCCTCGTCCTCGTGCTGCCGAGTTGTACCGAGGAAAGTGAAGAAGTCGCGGGCCAGCGGTCGTGGGGCCCGCAGGAGCTCGGGATCGTGGAGGCCGTGGCCGACCAGGTGGCGGTGGCCGTCTCGCACGCGGCAGTGCTGGAGGAGTCGCAGAGCATGCAGGAGAGGCTGGCCGAGCAGAACCGGGCGCTGGAGGTCTCGAGGCAGGACGCGCTCATGGCGAACCTGGCGCGGGCTGCGTTCGAGCGGGTGATGAGTTACGGGCTGCGGAGGCCCATGCACTCGGTTCTTGGGCTTCTGTCTGTGCTGCAGGGGGATGGGGGTCGGCTTGGAGTGGACCAGCGGCTGCTCGTGGACGCGATGGTTAAGACGGGTGGGGTTCTCTCGGTTTTGATTGGGGATGTGATGGGTGCGTCGGGAAGGGTTCGGGCCGGGCCGAGGAGGATGGAAATGAAGATGTTTGGAATGCACGCGATGATTAGGGAGATTGCGTGTCTTGCGAAATGCTTGTGTGCGTATGTGGGGTATGGTTTTGTGGTTGAGGTAGAGAGGGAGCTGCTGGACAATGTGATGGGAGATGAGAGGAGAGTGTTTCAGGTGATTCTGCATATGGTGAGGCATTTGTTGGACTCGGGTGGTGGGATTGGGATTGGAGGAGGGTGCCTTACGCTCAGGGCTTACTCGGTGGGGGGGTGGAGTGAGCAGAGCTGGGGGCAGTGCATGGGGAGCTCGTCTGATGGGTATGTGCATGTGAGGTTTGAGGTTGGAATTTGTTGGGGTGGGTCGTCTTTGTCGGATGGCGGGCTTCATATGGCTGCTGAGCACAGTGGAAGGTTGGGGGAGAGCTTGAGCTTTCTGGCGTGCAAGAAGCTTGTTAAGGTATATTCGTGACAAGCTTTTTTTNGTTTGATAGGTTATGGTTGACGTGTGTAATATTGATTTATATTGACTTTACATAATCATTTTCTCGTGTTGACATGACCTGGAATCGTTGTAGACAAACCATTAGTTTCCGATCTTTTGGGGTGAACTGAACCTAATGCATAAAATCTGTTTGTAAAGAACAAACCTTTTCTTTGTTTAACATGGGGCAATAAATTGTGGGCAGCAGCTAATGCAAGGTGATGTCTGGGTGAGTTCCAACCCAGAAGGGTTCTATCAGAGCATGATCCTCGTCCTCCGATTTCACGTCCCCTCATCTTTGGCCTCCGAGCAGTTGGAAAACTCAAACTCCATCTTCCACGGCCTCAGGGTCCTCCTGGTCGACCCGGATGACTTGAACCGGACCGTGACCCGGAAGCTTCTAGAGAAACTGGGCTGCGCTGTCTCATCTGTCTCCTCCGGATACGAGTGTCTAAATGCTGTGGGCCCCGACATGTCATCGTCTTCCTCATGCCAGGTCGTGCTTTTGGACCTCCAGCTGCCTGATCTGGACGGGTTTGAGGTCAGCACAAGGATTCGGAAGTTTCGGAGCCGTAATTGGCCGCTGATTGTGGCCTTGACAGGGAATGACGAGAGTGATGTGGCGGAAAGGTGTGTGGGGTCTGGGATGAACGGCTTCATTCAGAAGCCAGGTACTCTGCAAGAGATCTCAGATGAGCTTAAGCGCATCTTGATGCAGGTGAAATGGATTTAGTGCATTAGGATGGGGATGAATGGGTCCCTGTAAGAATAAAACGACGTAAGATAATTGTGATATTTGCAATAAAGGTAGCTAGCTTGTGAAAAAAAATGGTATAGAAAATTTATACTGTCTTGGGTTCGCTTTTCTGTTGTTGAGGGTTGAATCCACACGTCGGCTGCTAACTAAACTGGAGCCTTCGTAATTTGATCTTTGAAGTTTGGAAATATTCGTTACGGTCTTTGAAGTGTGTGATTGGTTGCAGCTTATGGACTGGACCAACCATAAGTTGACATGTGTGAGTGAGCTTATGCTAGGTTCAAGTCAAAACTCCAGTGGAGTTGAGAGATATATGTTTAGAGGAGGGATTTGTGGGGAAGTGAAATTTCGAAAGTTCAGTAGACAAAGTGTGACACTGTACTGTGATGCTGCTTGCTTGTGTTCTTCGAGAAACAAATGGCTGGTGTGTAACGTAATGCATGTGATTTGGGTACTTGAAAATGCTGTTTGCTTTCTTCTTCTGGCTGTTTCTTTTACAAATTCCAATTTTGATTCATTAAGTTTTTTTTTTTTTTAGTTAATTTTGTATAAAACAAATTATGATAGTTTGTACTAGCTAGTTGGACGGCCACGAGCCCGAACAACATTGGTTTGTCGTGGACAGCAATTAAGGGACCCGAACAGCAATTACACAAGCCCGAACAATGACGAAAATAGCCCGAGCAGCAGCTACTGGATACCTGCTACAGAAGAAAACAACTTACAGAGAAAGAATGAAATGAGAGGAGTCTCTGTTCATGTGTTGTATCCCTATTCAAAAATTCGATATCGCTATTTAATGACTGGGAAAACAAATTTTTATCAAAAGAACCCAACCTCTACTCATCAGTCATCAGGGAGAAAAAGCCCGTACCACCAAGTTATAGTAATTTATTTATCAAAAGATTTTATGCAGTTAATTAAAAATAATATTCGATATAGTTTTTTTCTAAATCAAATTGGATATCTTGCTTCTTCTTAACGTGAACTATATTATAGTGCATATAAAATGAAATCTTCGTCTGTAAATTATTTTTAAATGTGAATAGATAGAAAATCCACCAACCAGATCTTTTTTCTTTCAAAAAATTTTTTGTTAGTCAAGTCAACCTCATCTTTTTCTATTAAATGTCCTTTTCTAAACATTACTTGTCGTCACTCATTTTCCACCGTTACAGCATACATACATTGTTTTTGGATTATTTTGAATATTATTGTATGCGACAAAATTGATGACTCGATATTGTCTAGGTACAACGTAAATACGTTGTTTCCAGACTCCCGACCGACTTGTCTAGGTACAACGTAAATACATTATAGGTGGGTTGCGTGTTATTTTAAAAAAATTTATATATAAAATGTTTTAAAAGAATAAAATAATATCTTGCTTTTTACACATATATATTATTGTTTTTATTATAGAAATTCTAATTAAAAAAAAATATTGAAAAAACCTATGAATATTTAGAGGAGATAATATATTGAAATAAATCAACTAGGAGAAAAATGCAATTTTAGTTCCATTACTTTCGTTGTTTCTCATTTTATCAACTAACTTTCTAAGATTTACAAATTGGTACACTAAATTGTAGATAAATATTTTTTGATAATTTTTAAAGGTGCAATAATTTATTCTATCATTTTTAGAAAGATTTTTGGTCATATGTCCAAGTCCAACGAGTCATGTCACTATTCCAATATTTATCAACTTGAATGCAATGTGATGTTATATAATATTAAACTGTAAACCTTAAGACGAAGATCTCCATTGTAGTCCTTCAATTGGAATGTTATGAAGGAATTCACACGGAAACCAAACTATTTCTATGTCGGCTTTCCAATAGTTCATGCAATTTTATTCAATAGTTCATTGTATAGTTTTCGTTAACATACAATTTCGGCTGAAACATCGGCTTTTCGAATAGTTCAATGTATAATTTTCATTGAAATATACAATCTTTATTAGAATTACTTTTAATGATGCTATTCCAACAGTTGTAAAAGCTGCTACTATACTCATTAAATTTGAAAAATTAACTATTAAATACTACAGCTTTTGTTTATGTTGAATTTTTCTAATGCAATTTATAATATTTGAATATCCATGAAAATACTTAGAAGTTATATAGAGTAAACTATATAATGAACTTAAATTAATGGAGATGAAATAGAAAGAGTGAACTATATAATGGAGATAAAAGTGACCTCATGTACGACGTGTTAGTTGAGCAAAATTCTCATGGCTAATCTCAAAAGAATTTTCATGGCGATTCTCTCTAAGTCAGCGGCTTCCGCCGAGCCATTAAAAAGATAGCTCACCTCGGCTCTTCCGACTAACAGCGTCGGCCGACATGTCAACTCTTCATCGGGTAGCTAATCGTGTCAGCAGCCCTAAACGAGCGCAACTCACTTCCCAATCTTCACACTTTGGAATTTGAACGCGAAGTTCCTTCCGGGATTCCGAAAGGAGGAAAAAGAACAAAAAATTTTACGATGAACAAAATTTAGAATAAGGACGGGTCTGCACTACGCGATGTGCTTGCTTCTGACTCGACTATCCTCCTTAAAAGGCTTCTGCATAATCTTTTAAGGTGAAAAAACACTCCATTTTCTTATCGAACGAATTGTGCTGGCTTCAGTTCCTGCGCGTTTATCTCGAAGCCGAGCGTGAATATTTATTGTCCCCCTCGAGGTTAGGTTATTCACAAAAGTGGCGATAGAAAAATTCTGCCATCGAATCTTCGTGATATTTTAGCGATGGCATTCGAACGAAACTCTCATACTTCGCAAGAGGATAAAGATAAACAGAAACAAAGAGATGCTTAATCTCACTTGAAATCAGATTTATTTTTTTTTTTCAAAACAAAGTCAACGCCCAACATAAGATAAACCAGAATTAGCTAAACTTCAAGAGAAGCGAGTTTTAAAGTTGGGAAGCTTAAAATAGTTTACACAGCGAATCAAAAGTAGGGGAAGATCAAGCGAAATCCTCAAAATACGAAAATTGGATAACAAAAAGAAGCCTCAATCACACTTCAAAATTGTTTGCCATGCGAACGGGAAAGAGGTTTGCAAGAGTATACAGGAAGACAAGATTTTAAGAAAGGAAGCACGACTGCTTCGTCTTCACGAGTCCACGATTCACTGTTTTCATCGTCGGTTCAAGCTGCTCCCTTCGTTTACGCCTTCTTCTTTCGAGATGGCTCGCGAATGGTCCTCATCCGAAGACACCAAAAATACATCGAGAGGACTGTTATACAAAGAACTCAGCTCGATCATATCGAATTTCTAAACAAACAAAACCTCAAGTTAGAACTTAACTCTATATCGCTAGAGTTCAAGTTCATACAGCTAAGGTTCGCCACTCATCTAGAGTTCCAGAACGTTTAAAAGTAGGAGGATAAATTCATAAGCCCCGGTTTACATCTCATAATATCATAATACTTCACATAAACAATTTACTATTATCCAAGTATCCATACCTGAGTTGGCGCGGCACGACGGAAGCGAGTGGTCATAACTATATCATAGTATTCAAGTATTTCTCAGAGTTTACATAATTCGTACATACCAGTCTACAGAAACGCAGACTTGCTCTGATACTAAACTGTAACGCCCCACTTTTATTTGCCGAAAATTAGAATAAATTTTTCAAATTTATTTCAAAACACCAGAGGCGCTACTTATATTCAAAACAAACTTCAATACTTAACTAATTTCTCAATACTCAATCAATCATCAAACTCAATCATCAATCACCAACAATATTACTAACTCCCAAAACGGGTTTTTCCAAAAATTTATAAATCATCACCCAAACCGGGTTCCAACAATATTCATAAATTCTAATGAGCATTTCGTTAACCTTATTCAGTCATAAACCGGAATTCATAATAGTAATAATACTTCAAGTTCATAATCATAAAACCAGTTCATAGGTGCGGAAGCATAACAAATAATAAGACCGGTCTTATAGACCGACCACCACTCGCTCTACTCCACCGTTGTACCTGTCTCGCTTAACCTGAAACGTGAATTTCAGATGGGGATGAGCACAGTTGAAAAAAATAGTGCTCACCACTATGCAGTAAATATTGTTCACAATAATGAAACAGTAATCAATAATCAAAAAGGTATGGTCGCAGCATGTATTCGAATCAATTAATTTTCTCATCTCCTATCCCAGAGTCAAACCTCATGTGCACACCTACGCATAGACTGCTGCTGATACTCGATTCGAATGCCAAAACCTATGCCTTGGTCTTACAACGATGCCCAGCCAGTAGAAGTAATCCACCCCGCCGGCCAAGACCTACGAATTGGTCTTACAAACGGGGATCACCAGCCGATGGCCCTATGCCCCGGTCTTACAGCCATACATAAATAAAGGAGACTACCCATCGGGTACGTTCTATAGCTACGGGGATAATCGTTCGACGGCCGATACAACGCACATCGAAGGCTACATGGTTCACATGCATACATTGAATCATACCACAAATTATACATTAATAACATTTACAGCATAGCAAATTTTAGCATAACAACCCACCTGGTAATTCGGTAGAAGAGGCACACAACCAAGTCAGTAGGTCGAGGGCTCGACTCCTCAAACACCTACATTAAGTCCAGATGCTATAATGAACATTTATTTGACTTAAACGGAAATCACAATTATACTCAGCCGAACTTGATTCGACTAAGTGGTTCGTGAAGTCCTGTAAACATTGGAATACATAGACTCGACACTAAGACTCAACCAAGTACACATGGGTGTTCACATAAACCAAAACAAGGATTGACCAAGTCAAACACTCAAATAAACAAATGGCGAATCGATTTACAGTTTTTATTGCAAAAGCCGTATTTTTAAAAATACTAGATTTTAATCACTAAAATAAGTTGGTAAGGTTATCAACTGAGTTTAACTCTGAAATTTTAACCAAAATTTCACCTCCCAGAATTAAGCAAGGCCACCAATTTTTCAGCCCCAAACTCAAAGCATGTTATTTTATAAAATTCGAGGAAGTTTATGGCAAAAACGAGCATCAATTAGCAACCAGATCAAATGAATGAATTAACTTATGAAATTTTTATCTAAGGAACCTCAGCATGTACATAGCAGTGTGTAAAAATATCAGCCCTAAACTCCTAACATGCGATTTATTAAAATTACTACAACATTCAGATGTTTTCGAATTTTCAACATAACTGAACCTAAATGAACTCTGAAAATTCCAATATTTACACAACATGAAATATACCACAAAACATGCACTTCAACCAAAAATCATAATTTTTCAGCATCAGACCAATTTTTAACAATTAAAACAATTTCTGGCAGAAACACAAAATAATTTATTTACCTAAGCTAACAGAATCCAAAAATTATGAAAATTTAACACAACCTCTATAACATACAGGAGAACATCATATTCGAATTTTAGAAATTTTCGAGCACTATACAATTAATTATGCAATTAACATGAAGCTGACCAGAAATCATTATAATTTAATAAAATAGCTACAGACCTCCTAAAAT